GGGTAGGCCACAACCACAGGGCTGGAGCTCAGTTTTCCAGGGTCCTCACAAAGCCTGGTCATCTGATCCTGTTTGGGGACCGAGATTACCGGTGATGCCCAGACCCTGCGGGACCCCTGGATCCCTGACTGCGCTATTCCCTCTGTCTCTTTGGCACATTCAGTCCGCACCTCCTGTGAGATGAGGTGGGCCGAAGGCATGAGGGAAGGATACACCCTGCCATCCAACTCATGAACAGCACAGTGAGCTCTCCCCGGGTTTCCCTGAACCCAGACACCATCTACCACAGGCATTGCCAGCAGCTTTTGTACCTGAATGGAAAGGAAAGGTGATTGGAGCTGAAGGCCAAAGCTCCCTCTCTGAGGGGAGGGCGGTCATCAATTCCAGTGAGTCCCCACGCACTTCCAACCCAGGTGTGTGGTCACTGCCTATGACACATGTTTTTCTGCCTGTTGTTTTGGGAGGGAATCGAAGTCAGAAATAGTTGGAGGGGTGTCCTCCCTGGCTTCAGATGTTCCCCATACATGGTGACAGGCCAGATCAGGTGACATTATTTCAGTTCCCAAGCCCCCTGTTGGTAGACCATTCATTTCACCATCCCTGTCAAGCCATTGTTTACTTTTCTCAGCAGGGAAACTCACAGCTAGCTGGCTGCTGAAGTCCACGTGTTGATCACTTTTCAGTGCTGCCTTGGCCGTGGAACTACAAGTACCAGCCGGCTGTTGTGTACCTTTCTCAGCAGGGAAGCTCACAGCTAGCTTGCTGCTGAATGCAACATGTTGGTCCCCCCTCAGTGCTGCCTCGGCCGCGGGACTACAAGTACCAACCGGCTGTCCAGTACCATGCAAGGACAACAGCTGGGCGATTATCAAGGTAGAATTCTCTGTGCCTGGGCAAGGAAAAGCCTATCCAGAACATCCCTTTGCTCAGCTCCCAGAGATTGTACCTCTGCGCACTTCACAGCACTGTGGGTGACCCCCAACAATGAAAATGCATCATTATTATCATCATGACCATCATCATCATTAACATCATTAGTATTTTCAACATTGTCATCCACATTATCAATGTCAGCATCATCGTCATCATTATCATCATCATTATCAACAGTTACGTTTATAATATCAATGACACATGAGTTCATTGCTTCCCCATGCAAGGGGATTTCTTCTCGTCCTCCAGGTAATGGAGAATCCTGTAGCCCCACTATTCCCAGCACCCTCCCTCTGTCCATCCACAGGTTGCCCAGACATTACCCCAACATCTGCACACAGTACCTTGGCATGTCCAGAGAGTTCAAGGGGGGCCTTCTGGGTATTCTCAGCAGGGGCATAACAGGACACAAGAGTACCCAAATCGGCACCCAACAAAACAGGTGTGGGAATTTCATCCGAGACCCCCCCACCTCCCTCATCCCTCTTCCCACACCCCAATCTATGAATACCTTTGCACAGTGTATGCGTGAACGGGTCCCCCCAACTCCCGTGAGGGTAAGGAACTTTCCTGGGATGAGGTTCCTTTGTTCAATCACCTCTGGCCGGATCAAGGTGACTTCTGCCCCGGTGTTACGGAAACCAGTTACAGACCGGTTGCCCACAGTGACTGGCTGCAAGTTGGCGGGGGTTGCCCGCATCTTCCTGCGGACAAACAGCACGGAAAAAGAGTTGCTGGCCAGGTGATGTCATCTGCTTCTGCTCAGGATACTGCGTCCTGAAATGTCCAGATTTCCCACAGGTGAAACATCTGCAGTAGTCAGCCAGGAATGGCTTGGCCCCAAGTGCTGCAGGTGTTGGGTAAGGGGGAGCTTGACTCACCGGCGTAGGAGGGGTTGCTATGGGTGATTTCCCTCCTTTCCAGCCGTTCGGAGGAGCCTTGCGATGGTCAGACACCCGCGTGTGGACATAGGTATCTGCCAGATTGGCTGCAGCTTTAGCAGATGCTGACTCTCTTTCCAAGACAAACTGTGTGACGTCTGTCGGGCAGAAATGCAGGAGTTGATCTCGTATCATGAGATTCTCCAAAGACTCGTAGGAGTCAGCTTTCAGTCCTTTAGTCCACTGCCGGAATATGGTGCATAAGCGACTTGCCACATCCGTGTAAGAGTCCCCAGGTCCCTTTTGCAAGGACCTAAACCGCTTGCGGTACACTTCCGGGGTCATCTGGTACTTCCAGATGATGGCATCTTTTAAAGCTTCATAATCGTCGTCCTGCCCTTCTGGCAATTCGACAAATGCATCCAGGGCCTTGCCTCGTAGCCCTGGTGTCAGGTAGCGAGCCCATTGTGCTTGGGGCAGATGGTACTGACAGCATGTTTTTTTTCAAATGACAGTAAATACATGTCAATGTCACTATCTTTTTACATCACTGGAAACTTGGCTGCTGTGCCCACGGTCAGGGAGGCGTCCCTATGCTCTAAGGATCCGAGGTTCTGAACCTGTCGTTGCTGCTGGAGCCTCGTCATCTCCAGTTCGTACCGACGATCAGCTCCCCTGTGCACCACCTCTCTCTCAGCCCGGCATCCTGCAGCTTCTCGGTCCGCCGTTGCCTGGCATTCAAGGAACCACAGGTATGCCCCAGGATCTGTCTCCATGATGCGTTTCAGGGCTTCCTGCATCTGAGGAGAGTCTCTGCTGGTTACAGGCATTCAGGTGCTGGCCTGCTCAGGCCGTGGTGTTAGGATAACATTTGATGATACTCCAGTGTCAGTCTCTGTATGCCCATCCTGCGAGGCCATCTCTGAGCCACTGGGATCGGAGGTAGCGGGAACCCCTGCATGGGCAAGTTCCCCCGAGTTCTGGTCTGCTCGGCTATCATGCTCCTGTAGGTCCCGAATCAAATCTTCACAAGTTTTGCAATCGACGTCAATTCCTCATGTACTCAAATCACTTTTGCTCATTTTCCTGTACTCTGCATCACCAGGCATAATTGCAAGCAAAGATAGAATAGAAAGTAGAAAAAGGAAGGAGCAGTTGCGCTCTCTCTCTCTCTCTATATATATATATATATATATATATATATATATATATATATATATATATATATATATATATATATATATATACATATATATATACATATATATAATATGCACTGCTTGTTTCTAAGGACAGTTTCCACAAAGGTTACAATCCTTCAGTGCAGAGATCATTCCTAACAATGCACTGAATATATATATAATATATAATATATATATAATATAATATAATAATATATAAAAATATTTACAGAAAAAAGATGTAGCCAATATATATATATACAAATATACAGAAAACAATAGCACAGCAAATATATAACAGAAAGGAATTTAGATAAAGTACTTGCCAAAAGCCTTGGGTTAAGCAGCTTTCAAGTTTTCTGAGCAAAAGGGCGTTTTCTCCCAAAGTTGGTTCTGATGTTAAAAAGGGAGAATTCTTAAACTTAGCTCAACTCAGCTTAGCTTTTCTATGAACTCCACAAGGTGTCTCCCTGACTCAGAGAACCAATCGCCTCATTTGGGGAGGGGGTTGTGTAGGCGGCGAGCTCAGGCTTTGACCAAAGCCTTCACAAATTATACTATGGCCAATAACTTTTCCTAGTTACATATAACATTCTTTCCACGAGTAGATTAATACCCAGAATCATCTGCTGAATGCTTAGATATGAAATATGAAATATATGCTTGAATGGTTAAGGAGATATAATTTTCTGCTCTCCTGTGTATGTCAGATAGGGGGTGTAATATACCAGGCGACTTGTCTTACAGTGAGCCATCCAAATATGTGTTCCATGTTTGCGTAATTATTTCCTATTTGGAAATACAAGTCTGTTTTTATTACCTCCTGGAATGTATTTGAAACTCAGTGAGGGCTGGTTTATGGCTTGATGACCCTTTCTCCAGCAAAGGTTTTGCAGACAGAGGGGCACCTAGCTAGTGTATGATTTACAGCTTTGGAGCTCTCCCACTGGGGCCTGTTGCCTTTTGAACTCAGCAAACACACACAGACCACATTCCTGAAGGAGGGGGAAAATTGGAGGAGGAAGCCTGATTTGGGAGAGAGAGATGATACAAAATGGAAGATTCTTAACAAGATGGATGACCGCGTCCATCTCGGTGTGCACGATTGCTACAGCCACCGCAACAGCTTGTACTGCACTTATGGGACTCGCCACGTCACCAAGTGATACTGCAGTGCTGGTATGTGAACGACCAGGATGTACTAGGTCGCTGGTGCTCGCCAGTTCACCAAAAGGTAGAGCGGCACTAGTACTGGAGCTGCATATGAGAGTCATCAAAATTTACTGGCAAGTGCTAACAGAGATCAGGCCTGATTCTGCAAACAGAATCAAGTGACAGTGACCCACTTGGTGGAGGAGGGGGGTAAGCGTAGGGGGGCTAAACGCAGATGCTGGCAGGTGCCGGGGCTGATCCCGCTAACGCTGCGTTTTTGGGGACACTATACTAATGTGAACACTGGTATAGTGCTCATCTGATTAAAAATATTAATCTGTTCAGACACTATACAAGCAATGGAGGTTTATGGTGTATGAGCGTGTTCCTGGCAATCAAAGGGTTAAATGTGATTACTGGTGTACCGACGGGCAATCTGACGCTATCTGTGAGGGGCGTGAAAACCACGGGAGCGCGAATCACGTATAACTTATACACGTGATTTTGCGCACCCACACCGTCCTGTATCAGCATTTTTGCTTTAGGGCGGTCAGGAAGCAGTTAAAGAAGCGGTTTGCGTTACTTTAACTGAAATTGCGCAATCATGCAACACTCCACCCAAATTAAATTTACGTCCTTTTTTTCCCCCATTAATTGAGCTTTCTTTTGGTGGTATTTGATTGTCTGTGCATTTTTTATTTTTGGCGCTATAAAAAGACCAAAATTTTTGAGAAAAAAAAAACAATATTTTGGACTTTCTGCTATTAAACATGTCCAGTAAAAAAAATAAAAAATCTAATTTTGTCATAAATTTAGGCCAAAATGTATTCTGCAACATGTCTTTGCTAAAAACAAAATCCCAATATGTGTAAATTAATTGGTATACGTGAAAGTTATAGCATTTACAAAATGGCAATACAGATACTGGAAATTTTTTTTCATACTAATAATGGCAGGGATCAGCGACTTATGGCGGTGCTCAGTGACTTATAGAGGGACTGCGGTGGCCATTCTGACACTGGGGGGAACTGACTTGTTGTCACTGAGATCCCCAGTGACACCAATACAGTGATTAGTGCTAAAAAAAAAAAGCACTGACACTGTACTAATGGCACTGGGCAGGAATGAGTTAGCATAAAGGGCAATCAAAGGGTTAACTGTGTGATGGAAGTGTTTTACTAGGTGGCTCTGCTCAGCCATTCAGAGCAGTGTGCCCATACTGACAGGGAGGAGGACTGTTGGTAAACAAAGCAGTCCTCCTCCCTGTCGATGATCGCCAGTAATCACTGGCTGGGACCCGGTGATTGGCACCCGCGGCCGCGAATGGTAGCGCAGTTAGGGTGTGCGTGCCCCCTACCCGGAAATACAAAATCATGTAAATATACACGTGATTTTGTGCACCCGTGCCGCCGTGTAGCAGTATATCTGCTATACAGCGGCAGGTAAGTGGTTAAATATCACCAAAAGAAAACTCAAAAAAGTGTCTCATAGGAGCTGCTATCAAATTTCAGGTTGTCAAAAGAAAAAAAAAAAAAGTTAAAAAAAAAAAAAGGAAGTGTTTTTTCAGGCATTTTTTTGGGCAAGGAAAAAAAAAAGTCGTGGGAGGATGGCAACCCTGCTCTGACATAACGAAGCAAAACCTAGACACGCTGTACAGAACAAAGCATAGTAAGTCCATAGTGGAGATAGATGAGCTGCAGTGAAAATGCATGCAATACTAGTTACAAGTTCTTTGCCCTCTGCCTGCTGTTTCTGAGCACAGCTTCCAAATTTCAGTTCCTTGTTAAAGCATTGGTGGTTCCTGTAGCTCACAAGTCTTTTTTCATTTTCACATATTTCTTCATCAATTCAATGACATAATCCATTATATTGGGTATTAGGCAAAGCAAAAAAAGAATAAAAAAAAAAAGACCTTTTTAGGTTTTTCTGGATTTACGTATGGGAACAGAAGTAGCTAAATATGAAAAAGTAACAATTTTGTTGAAAAACAGCCAAAGTGTTCTTAAAGCTGAAGTTTAAGCTGGTTATATTTTGCCTTCCCTGATCCCTCTCTCTTCGTTTTATCAATATGCTAATGGCACCTGCCTGGAGTTTGCATGTTCTCCCTGTACCTGCGTGGGTTTCCTCCGGGTACTCCGGTTTCCTCCCACACTCCAAAGACATGCTGGTAGGTGAATTTGATCCTGTCTAAATTGGCCCTAGTATGTGTATGTATGAATAATGTAAGTTAGGGACTTTAGATTGTATGCCCATTGAGGGTTAGGGACTGATGTGAATATGTACAATATATATGTAAAAAAGCGCTGCGTAAATTGATGGCGCTATACAAGTACCTGAAATAAATAAATAAGCCAGCATAACAGACATGGAACTATCATTTTCAGAAGAAAAAAAAAACTGTAATGGCAGCCTTCATGTTTCTATCATGACGGGTTTAATTCAAGAGCAAAAACCCAGAACCGCCAATCAGAGGTGTGCCGTAATGTGTTCTGCACTGCGTTGACAGTAATCAGTTGCACTGTGCTCAGCTATCCCTGAGGACTACAGAAGACCCGCCATAGGTTAGCAACATTTCCTTATCAATAGATGAGGTATGGTGAGTAAGCATTATCATCATATCAACATAGGCCAGGAACTATGTTACTGGCAAGATCACTAGATTTTTTTTTAAAAAAAGGAAAAAAAACCCACTAAAAAAAGAAAAAAAAAAAAAAAAAAAAAAACAGCCTTCACACTATGATGTTTTGAATCATGGGCAGTATTGATGCGATACTGCCCGCGATTTCAAAATGCTCTGTTAAAATTCCAAATCGCAGACTGTGTGTTCAGGTGCCATTCAATTTAATGGCACCTGAAAACATGGTGCAATTCTGCCATGATAAATAGAGCTGCAACCATGGCAAACCGAATCACATGCAGCGTGTTGCCCAAAAGAAGTTATTAAACTTTTTTGGGTGACATGCTTTGCGCAATGCAGTTTGTTGCAATTGCAATGTGATTTTATCATGGCAAAACCGCACCGCATTTTCAGGTACTATTAAAATAAATGGCACATGAACACGCAGTTATGAGATTTGTCATTTTAGCAGAGTGTTTTGAAATCGCGAGCAGAATCGTGGCAATTCTGCCCACCAATCAAAACACCATAGTGTGAATGGGGCCTAAGGACTGATTAACAGCAATATATGAAATTTTCTCACTTTGAGTTTGGATGTACTGACAACACTTAGCATTGCCACCTTACAAAAAGGATCTTCTATATTGGTGGGATCTCCAAATTAGAAACTTTGCACAAGAACTACAGAAACAATTTGCTTAAGAACACATAGGGGTTGTTTACTAAAAAAGGAGAATGCAAAACCTGGCATAGAAACTGCATAGAAACCAATTAGTGTGCAGGTTATTTTGTCAAAGTGAAATTGAACAAGCTGAAGTTAGAAACAGTTTGGCTACCATGCACAGGTGCATCAGATTCTGAGCACTCCAGAATCCTCTTATAGCACTCCACTCCTCTTATATAGTAGGAATCAATATGCAGCATACTGAATTGTCTAAAAATAAGGTCGAGAGCAATAAAACTCCCCCACGCTATTCAAAAGCTGAAAAAGCTTAAAATGTAGTTTGAATTTTCAATTGTTCGGAGGTATAATTTAAAGGGTATGTATTGTGGTTTTGCATACATGTTTTAATTATACATGAAAAACAATTTTAAAAATATATATTTTTTAGTTAAACAAAGTATTCCATAAAAATATACTGCTTATTTACAGTACATGCAGTCAGCAGGTGGAACTGTTGACTTCATTTGACAACTTTTCTGGCTCTCCTTAGCCACTCTTTCAAAAATACCCTGTTGTTTACAGAATCCAATAAGAAAAGCCCAATCCCACATAAGAAACCTAGAACTGTTTAACTTACTTTGTGTAGGTCATCGTGCAGATGGCATCTTCCCATGCTCGATAGCCTTCTATCGCCCCACCTTTCACTATCACTGTATCTTCATTGGTTTTAACATCAAAATGTTTAGAAACAATGACATGGAAATATAGTGTGATGCAATCAACAGGATTGAATTCCCTGTAGGGATAAAAAATAGGAATTAACAGGCTAAGCAGTACACATCTAATGTTCATACAGATTACAAAACCTCCCTAACTTTTGAATGAAGGAACAAACTAATTTATGTAATAAATCAGACCCAACCATACAATAAAAACTAACCAAAAATGTAAAAAAAAAAAAAAAAAAAAGGCTTGCAACATAGCTGAAAATATGTCTATATATAATTTTGTAATGAAAACTATGTTAGAGACTGTCTCTGTCAAAACCTTCACGAATGACAGAGGGCTCAATTCATGAAGAGTTTATTTTTCTCTTTAAAATCGGAGAAAAAATACAGGTGTACCTCGGTTTACGCCTTGGTTAACGTAATTTTCGATTTACGAATGAAAATCTATTGAAAATAATGCCTTTACAAATTCTTTTCGCAAAAGTGTATGTCAGTGACGATTTTTTAAATGCAATTGCCGGCTTTTTTTTTTCTTCACTATAGCTTACAGAATTAGCTGTCACTTTCCCCAAGTTAAAAAGAAACTTTGTTTCTTTTAAGAAACTAAAAGGAAACATTGTTTCTTTTAACTTGGGGAAATAAACTAAGGAAACTTTCTCTTTCTTATAGCTGGGGGTAAAGTGACAGCTGAATCTGAGTTATAGTGAAGAAAAAAAAAAAAAGCGATAATTACATTTAAAAACCAGCACCATAATAAATAAAAAAAACAGTGTGGGGTCCCCCCTCCCTTCCATACCAAGCCCTTTGGGTCTGGTATGAATTTTGAGGGAAACTCCCACGCCAAAAAAAAAAAAAAAAAAAAATGGCGTGGGGGTCCGGCTCCCCCTCCTGAACATACCAGACCACATACCCTCAATATGGGGGGGTGCTTTGGTGCAGGGGGCGCGCGCCCTCCCCCCAAAGCACCTTGTCCCCATGCTGATGGGGACAAGGGCCTCTTCCCCACAACCCTGGCTGATGGTTGGGGGGGTCTGCGGGGCAGGGGGCTTATCGGAATCTGGAAGCCCTCAGATTCCCTCCCTCCCCCCATGTGAATGAGTATGCAGTACATGGTACTGCTACCCTTTTGAGATTAATTAACCTGCAGTGTTAAAAAAGACAGGAGACAGTCTTTGACAAGTCCTTTATTAAAAGAGTGAATGAGTATGGGGTACATGGTCTCGTTACTCATTCACAAAAAGTGTTGTGTGAAAAAAAAAAAAAGACAGGACACGGTCTTTAACAAGTTCTTTATTTAAAAGAAAAAAATAAAAGAATGTCCCCCACAGCGTCTGGTATGGATTTTGGGGGGGACCCCCACGCCATTTTTTTTTTACATTTTGGTGTGGGAGTTCCCCTCAAAATCCATATCAGACCCGAAGGGCTTGGTGTAGATGGAAGGGGGGACCCCACACCGTTTATTTATTTTTTTTAATTGCTCGCAATTCTTTTACTTTCAGCTGTCAGTGGGGAAATTGTGGACCTGGCCGCTCCACAATCCTGCTATTAAATTTAGACGAGATATTATTTACTTATCTTAGCCTGAAGAGCGAGTGATGTATAAGTGTATGTATATTGATTGTCTGTTGTATGTTTGTATTAGTTACTTATATTTCTTTTGTTTTTGCTGGCACTGTTTGCCCATACCTGATCTGCTATCAATCCTAGTCACTATGAGAGGTATGTCCTGAGGTAAAGATTACTCTTCTATTAGCTAATGCTTAATTGTGCTCTACGCAGCTGACATTATTGCCATCATATGCTGGTAGATGGCAATGGTTTTGTAAGCCTTAATTCAAAATGTTAAAACACCTTTCCAAAAAAAAAAAAAAAAAAAAAAAAGAAGAAGTACATATAGAGGGGGTACAGGCAACAATAAAACCTTGACAGGGGTTCTAATCCCTCTCCACTTTATCCAAAACTAAAAAAAAAACGTTTTGCATTTAGTTAAAACACAATTCTGTGTTTTTCTATATTTAGGTTTCTATGCATTACTGTTCAGAAACTGATCCAAAGCAGCAGAGACTACTCCAAATTGGCTATTATATTTTTGCATTCCTTAAATTCCTCATGCCTGGACCACTAATTATTTAAC